TAAATTATTTTGTATTTTAAATTACAAAAAATATTTGCCATCGAGTTTATATATAATTTTAAAATAGTACACTCTACTCTTAAAAATTTTAAAAAAAAACTTAAAAAAACAATTTGCTTGGTTTCTACTAGCTACTAGCACCCACTCCTATATGTTACAACTGTTAAATTTTAATTGGCTTTTCTAATAAATTCATATAACATGTATAAACACATAACACTTTTTTAAATATGTAAATTTTTTTAAAAAAGGGCATGCCCCTCTAGGCATGCCCCCTGAAAAACCGTGCCCACAACTCTAGTTAGTATATGTTTTTGGTGAGCTAATGTGTCTAAAGAAAAACGATCTAATAATTATAATAATTACATAATTTGTGATCGTCGTCAGAAGCTTTTATGAATCAGAAATTAGCGAAATAACAAATAATATTATTTTTATCGAAAATCTAAATATCTTGTATACAACCATAAATCAGTTAAGAACAAAAGTTTTTCGATTCTAAATCATATATTTCATGTGAGTTGCCTTTTTTTTTACTTTAACGTTAATATTCGCGCTATTATTGAGGCTTGTCATTCGGATTTGCCAATCAATATTTAACAACAAAAACCATAGAGAAATATAGCCAAGCCTCATGGTTCTTTCTTATCTATAAATTTTCAACGATCTTCTATCTCATTGAAGAAAAAAAATGGAATTAAATTTAGAAAATTTTTTTTTAAAAGATATAAAAAATCTATTCAACGATTCAAATTATTCTAATGTAATAATTCAAGTTGGTCGACATCCTGATACCAAAAGCTTCAAAGCACATTCTTTGATATTGCGAGCAAGATCATCATATTTTCGATCTACTTTAAAAACAAATGATGGCCAAGTATCTTCATTAAATTTACCAGATATTTCTTCTTGTGTGTTCGAACATATTTTAAAGTTCGTATTTCTGGCTTCTAACAATAGTCATTCGATTATAGGAATGTTATCGGCTCGACCCGGCTTGTATATTTAATAATGATAAAACTGATTAACGAATAAAGCCAAATGAGCCGATAACATCTCTATTTAGTTATAATATGAAAAATTAACGTAATTAATGAATTTATGTGCTTAAATCTAGTTACATCTATAGCGGAACAATTAATTTGAATGACACATCTATGAGATCTATATATTTCGGGTTATTAATTGCATCATCTGATCTAAAACTCAGCGATCTAATCGATCATCTCCAGAATTACTTTCTTACTAATGATACTGAATGGATTCGCGCCAATATACTTAGGCTCCTTTATCTCACATTTACTCATCCATCGTACTCCCGCCTATCCAAATTTTGCCAAAGTACCTTCAATACACAATTCACTCAAATATTTAGTTCTTCAGAATTCCTTAATCTAGAAGAACAATTCCTAATTAACATAATTGAACGTAATGACCTTCAAATTGACGAAATCGTAATTTGGGAGGCCGTTCTTCGGTGGGGAATTGGAAAATTGCCATGTTTGATTGAAGATGTAAAAAAATGGACAAATAAAGATTTTAATAAACTTAGAAAAGTTGTAAAAAATTTATTACCGCATATTAGATTTTTTAATATTTCAGGGTTAGATCATAGAACTAAAATCCGACCATTTAAAAAAATCTTGGGAAAGGAATTAAGAGAAGAAATTAAGGATTTTTTTTTCGCAAGGATTTCACCAACAAAATTTCGACAACTTCCACCTCGCTTTATAGAAAATTTAAGTAATGAGAATCGAATTCAAATTATCAACCAAGCCTCAAATAATTCTGACGTTAATCATGTAAATTTTGTTAATGTTAATACTACCAACTCCGTAATTATCGGAGAAAAAGGATTCGCCAAGATTGCATCGTGGATTGATAAAAAACAACCAGTGTATGCATATGCGCCTGCAGAAATACCTTACGACTTTAGATTGTTATATAGGGGAAGTAGAGATGGGGTAATAAACGTGAAGAAGTTTCATGAACGATGTGGAAATCAAGGAGCTACAGTTATCATCATCAAGATTGCAGAATCTACGCGAGTTCTTGGTGGATATAATCCTGAAAGTTGGCTGAATGAAAATGTGTGGGGTAAACGAATGTTTAGTTTTATTTTTTCGATGGAAAATGGTCGTAATGATGAAAATAATGGGAAAGATGCCGGTAACAAGATAGAATTAGAGAATCAAAGTAATTCTACCGGGACTAATAATTCCTCTAAATCAAGAAAAGAAGGTCATGATATAATGGCACGAGTAAAGTTAGCTAAACACGCGATCTGGAATTCTATAAAAAATCCGGGATTTAGTTCAGATCTACAATGGTTTAGTGGTACTTGTACACCTAAGTCGTATGATAAACCTATTTTTGAAGATAAAATATTTCCTCTTATCGATTTTGAAGTGTTCAAGGTTGAAAAAAAGAGCATCAATGATGTGCATGCAAATAAGAGAACTAGAATAACTAGAGTAGAAGATGAAGAAGACGAGTTAGATTTTGATTTGGACGAAAGAGACTATAGCAGGGATAATGCCGGAAAGAGGCTTAAATCGTAAGCCTGGTTTTATATTGTTACAGTGTGAGATTCTCCCTATTTTATTTGTTTATGTTAACCCGTTTTCAAAAGAATGATTTACTTGGTGACGAAATTAAGGATTTTTGCATCAACATTTTTTAACATGCAACCTGTACCAAATTTATTTGGTGATAATTTACTTCAGAGCTGACAACACGATACCTACGGTACTTCATTCGTTTTGTAATGTTCTTTCGTAATGAATCATTTATATAAAAGTTACAATTGGTATATGATTATTTTCAACCATGCGATAATTAACAACTATTTCTAAAACTTCAATATAATTGCCGAAACAATCGAAACAACGCGATATGTCATATTAATTTCTTGTAAAACTGCTAAGAGGTAAATGATTAAGGGCAGTGTTGTACATTTTGGCATGTCCGAAGCTTTTTTGGACATGTCCAACGCCAAGTGTCCAAAGTGTCCAAGCTGTCTATAGCCTTAAATATTTTAGTAATAGAAAAAAAATTATATAGTTATACTCTTTGTTTAATTCTAAATATTTTGCTTAAAGATTCAAATAGGTTATCTTAATAAAATTTTGAGTAAATTCACTTTATTTTTTGTCCACAATATTCAAAATGTCCAAAATCTTGTCCAAAGGCTGTTAAACACGTACAACACTGATTAAGGGTTTAGCGGAAAGGGTCGCACCTTATGATAACATTCTTAAAAAGTTGTTATCAAGCTTATAGCTATTTTAAGAAGTGTTTATACTGGAGATAATCTACTGGACCCTTAGAATTTGCATTATCTTTTTGTTGGACCAAGTTATTTAAAGTTACTGTAATTCAGGTAACGTATAAATTCGAACTATTATTCGTCGTCAGTAAGATTGGGGGCATAGTTAAAAATCCACCTGATTGGTTGTCGATCCTTGAAATTTCATTGGCTGCTTATAGTTAACGTTCCATATGAAATTACAATCGACCATATCTGATATGATAAATCGTAAACGAATATGACTATATCTGATTAATTTTGCCAGAGGCAAGTTGCTTCCGGGAACTAATTTTCTTTAAAGTTTCGTCAGATGTTTACTATAAAAATTTGTACTTGCTATTCACAAGTGCTAAATTTTTATAGTAAACTTCTGACGAAACTTTAAAGAAAATTAGTTCCCGGAAGCAACTTGCCTCTGGCAAAATTAATCAGATACGTATAATCATATTCGTTAGCGATTTATCATTGTAATTTCATATGGAACGTTAACTGGAGTTAGGGTGTCCAGAATTATGCGATGCGATTGGGTAAATTATGCGTGCGAATTGGGGTCAATTATGCGGTAGATGCGAAATAAATTTCAAATTATGCGATGAAAATAGGCGATTATGCGATTTAACCTTTCGATATATGTGAGCTGCTGTCAATAGAAATAAGACAGATTTATTAAAAAAATATGCCTTATTCCTATTAACGGCAATTCATATAGTTAAAGTGCCCAGAATTATACATTTTAATTAAAATAAACTATCGTTATGCAATGAATGAACGAATGTTAAATAATTAAATCGACTATGTGATCGTCAAACTTCCAAATATTATTTTTTTATTTATTTATTCATTCATTTGAATTGAATTTTCTGACAAAGCATGTCTATTATCGCTAAAATTCGTTTATAAGCTGAAAGCTACGCTTTACATCAACTCCCAAAACTGGTAGCCAAATATTGTATAAATTCATTAATTATTTAAAAAAAATCAATAATCTAAATAAGTATCTATTAATAAATATACCGTATTTGCAATGTAAAAAAGATTGAAAATATTGTATTTTTTCAAAAGGTATATCAGCTTTGGCTAATAGTTTAACAAAGTTAAGAACAAATTGATCTCTTTCATTATGAAGTTTACTAAAAGTAGTAAGTATACATTGAGTAGGGGTTTTTTTTTGAGGTTTTTCAAATGCAATTTTTTTTTTGTTTTATGATCAGTAGATTTCAAGTGGTTATCTATTATCGATTTTTTTTTATGTGAAATTATATTCTGACAAAACTAACAAAAGAGTTTTCCACTATTCACATAAAAATCATCTTGGTATATAGGATATTTAATAAGCTATCCTGAAGCAGTAACTATATTACTTTCAAATATTTTTTTTTTTTTTTATAACTTAAGCAATCTTGCCTATCACTTTTATTAAGAAAGCTTATAAAAAGCATAAGACTAATCTAAAATACAAAGTTTATAAATTAAATCCTCCTAAATTCAATTTGGACTAACTCAGCTACCTCAAAGATGCCTAAGTACGAGTTGCTGCAGAAGCTCATTTTCTCTCAAAAACCTTGATCTGTATGAACATATTCTTCAGAATTTGATTAATGATAGTGACTTTCAGCCTATTGTTACAAGTGTCGGTCTTCTTGATTTAATACAAGTAACATAAGATACAGAAGGGGGACTCCCAACGGTGTCAAAGTGGAATATTACATCACTGTGGCGGTTCATTAGAGAAGTTTATTTTTAAAGCCAAAAGATCATATTTATTAAAGAACTAATAGAGAACTTAGAACTTTATTGAGTAATAGGAGATTGTAGAGGACAAATCTTTTTTAGGGAACTGTAAAGAGCTACAGAACTATTTTTACAGGAAGGAGAAAAGGGAGGGTTTATATAGCTTTTTAGAAAAGTAAGAAAAGTAAGAAAAGTAAGAAAAGTAAGAAAAGTAAGAAAAGTAAGAA